CAGCAACCTCAAACTCTTGGGCTTAAGTGATTTTCTTGCCTCAGCCTCCCAAGTAGCTGGGACTATAGGCACCTGCCACAATGCCTAGCTATTTTTTTGTTGCAGTTGTCATTGTTGTTTAGCTGGCCCAGGCTGAGTTCAAACCTGCCAGCCTAGGTGCATGTGGCTGGCGCTGTAACCACTGTGCTACAGGTGCCGAGCTTTATATATTGTTAAATTGTAATCAATTACATATTTATTTTATTATTAATTTCTTGCTGCACCTAATTTTTATATTAAACCTTATCAAAGGTATGTATGTACGGTAAGTTCTTATTCAATGTCATGGATAGGTTCTTGGAATCTGCAGCTTTTAAGCAAAATGACGTATAACACAACCAGTGTACCACGGGCTAATTGGTAGAAACAAGTTAAGTTCTTATGGTCATGAAAACATCACCAAGCTTCTAAATACAGACCAAAACATTTCTAATATTAAGAAATGAAATAAATGTGAGTGCTGCATACATTTAAAAGAGATTAATAAAAATAAGTAAGATCATTATTTACCCAGTTATTCTAGTTAAGGGTGGCAGGTAGCTGGAGACTCTTCTGGCAGGTCAAGGCTCAGGGTGGGAAGCCACCCTGGCTAGGTCGCCCTCCCATCTCAGGGCACTCTCACACACATACAAGCACTCACACTGAGACCATGTAGACACTCCAGATGATGTACACATGTTTGGAATGTGGAGGAAAACAGAGTACCTGGAGTAAACCCAAGTAGACATTGGGAAAACATGCAAACTTCACACAGTGGCCACAACCAGGAATTGATTTTTTTCCCCTTATCAGTGTTACAATGAAAAGATTTTGAATGAAATGGTGTTATTCTTTGATCTGATGCATAGGAAAAACATTGTGTATGTAGGGCTTAGTACTATCCTTGGTTTCAAGCATCCACTTGGGTTGGGCAGTTGCTCAGATTGCACCATTCAGTCATGGCATCATGCTCACAGTTCAGCATCTTTGGGTAAAGGTATTAGAGACTCTTCATCAGGTCTAGACCTGGCATCTTTTGCTCTGGAGAGCTTATGTACTAAAAACACAAGTTATCTGTTCCTCTTGTCACTTCACACCCTGGTGGAATTGGAAAGGATAATTGCCACAAACATTTCCATTTAGAAAGGGGAGGAATGGCAGCTATACAGCAGTTAAGAGTTATAGCAACTCTTTAGTTCCACTGAATAAGCATTTTGGGGGACCCCTACCTTGGGTTGGAGAATGTTCCTCAATTATGTCCAGATGATGCTTCTTGGGACTGGCTCCTTTGCCTATGTAATATTCTGTATGTCCATTGGCTCCACCTTCTTGAACTTTCTTTTTTTTTTCCATTAACTTTCTTGCTTACAACTAAAGTGGGCACTGGAGAATGGGCCCTCCTTGAGGCTGAGCATTTTTATTGATAGCTTCTTGTCTAGTAAATTGGTGTCCAAGGTGGTTTTATATATTCAGTAGTGGTAGTTATCTTTTAATCTAAATTGGTAGTTATTTTTGGAGTGCAACTCTCAAAAATTTGTTGAGGGGGGATTACAAATGCCTGCCACCATGCCCGGCTATTTTTTTGTTGTAGTTGTCATTGTTGTTTGGCAGGCCTGGGCTGGGTTTGACCCTGCCAGCCCTGCTGTATGTGGCCAGTGCCCTAGCCACTGTGCTACGGTGCCAAGTCATCATTTTGCTTTTCTATCTAATCTTGTTTTTTATCAGTTTCATAGAGGCCATATCTCCTTTTACTTTATAGAATGTGTCAAACTATTTTTAGATTTTTCTTTTGGTTCCATTACTATATCTATTAATAGTAAGCCTGGCAGTGCCTGTGGCTCAATGAGTGGGGCGCCGGCCCCATATACCAAGGGTGTTGAGTTTGAAACCGGCCCTGGCCAAACTGCAAACAAAAAATAGCCAGGCGTTGTGGCAGTTGCCTGTAGTCCCAGATGCTCAGGAGGCTGAAGCAAGGGAATCACCTAAGCCCAGGAGCTGGAGGTTGCTGTGAGCTGTGATGCCTTGGCACTCTATCCAGGAGACTGAGGCAAGAGAATTGCCTAAGCCCAAGAGCTGGAGGTTGCTGTGAACTATGATGCTACCGCACTCTACCAAGGGCAACAGAGTGAGACTCTGTCTCTAAAAAAAAAAAGAAAGTGAAATCTGCCAGAAATGTTTTGTGTCTACAAGTAGTTTGTTTTTACCATTCACTTACCGTGGGGGTTAATACCATCTTGTATCTACATCCCAGGTCATTCTCCATTTCTAGAAGGCTTTCTCTTAGATTATTTGCAGATCTACCCTCCATGCTTGATTTTCTTTTATGTGTAGAATACACAAGAAATAAAAGTTGGAGCACTTGCTGCTATCAGGATTCTTCCTTTCTTTGCTTTCTGTTATAATTTTTGGCCTATAAAGGACTGTCCTCAAAATGTAATGTGTTCTTCTAATGGCCTTCAACTTTTTTCTCAGACATTTTCTAGAAATTGTTGCCCTGTTTGAATATATATAGACGAGAGTAGTAGGAAGAGAGGGATGTGTGTTTATGCGTGGGGCGGGGCGGTGAGGGTAGTGTACAGTAGTCTCACCAACACAAAAGATTTGCATAAATGGGAATTTAAAGTTGGCTGAAATTTTACCCTTAGTACAGTCCTTGTCTGAATCAGGTAACCAACAGTAGAGGATGTTGGAAGTGCTTTCTGTTCTTTTTCCTTTTTTCAGATAGCTTTAGTTTTATGAGGCTTAAGGTCGTTATGGCATCTTTCCCCCAAACCAGTGCCTGCTTTATGGTTCATAGGATCCTTCCAGATTCTGGTTTTAAGTGCTGATTTTGGTTTTACATGTAGTGATTTCTTGTTTTTTGTTTGTTTGTTTGTTTGTTTCCCTTGAATCTTAAGAAACTGAGACAAATTGCATTGTGGACTTCTAGTAATATAGGATTTTAAACTGAAAGTATGTATATTTTAATTTCTAGCTTTGCCATCTGACACCTGGAGAAGGCTCATGGTTTTTGTCTCGTAATAGAATTCCTAAGAATAATTATCATGATTTCTTGATGTCTGGCTTTCACTAGAGTAAGAATTTTCAATTTTATCTGAATTTGATATTATGTAGTATTTCTATTTCAGATAGCAGCAGCAGCAGCAACAATGTTTCACTTCTTCAGAAAGTCTCCGGAATCTAAAAAGCCTTCAATACCTGACACAGAAGCAGATGGATTCGTCCTTGTAGGTAAATCTTTTTAAGAAACCAAATCATATTATAATTAGATGTACTATTTTATCTTTAAAATTACTTAATTATATGAATTATATTTAAATTTATTATAATTTCAGATTTAATTTAACTGTTTAAATTTATAAAAGAGGAAATCAGGTTATCAGTTACTTAGACTATTGTCATCAAGTCAGACTTTGCTTGGTTTGGCTGTGTACTTCAAATTAAATTTGTAAAATCATTCTTTTTTTTCCCATTGGACAAACTAGTAAACCTTTTTAACTATAGAAAACCAAAATCTTTAGGAACCCTCAGTAAATTCAAGGATAATACCAACCTTATTTCTCAAACTAGCACCTGAAATTAAGTTAGGAACCCAATAAAAATTTGTTGAATGAAGTAGCCTTTCATTTATTTTTTATGGTAGGATATGAAGGAAGTAGACTTTTGCATCAAATATATTAGTGTTTCCTAAATGTTTGTTGAGACTGTTTTTTATTATGAAATTATTACGTGGTGATTTAAAAGGTTTTAGTGGCTTTAAAAAATATTTCTTGCAACCAAATACCATGCTCTTATCAAAGGAAATTTTGAAAAATAAAATTTACTCTGTCCTGTCAAATCTTTCCCCTAAAGAAGAGATTTTCAGTCTTTGTAGTTCCTCCCAGACTTTCTCTCTATAGATTATGGTGTGGACTAGCCAAAATCCAGTGTCCCCTTGTGTGTACTCATCCTCTTCTACTTTGGACCTCCTCTCACCAAATTCCAGTTCCTAAGAAGGTTTGCCTTAACTTATACTGTGTTTACTCCTTGGGATGTTTCTCAGGTTACTTCCTGTATCATTTTTTTTCCCCTTAGGATCTTGCTTTGTTACCTGGGCATGAGAGCGGTGTCATGATCATAGCTCACTGTAGTCTGATACTCCTGTGTTCAAGTGATCTTCCTGCTTCAGCCTCCCAAGTAGCTGGGACTACAGGTGTCCACTACCACACCTGGCTGTTTCCTGTTTTTCATAGAGATGGGGTCATGCTGTGTTGCTCAGGCTGATTTCAAGCTCCTGACCTTAAGCAGTCTTCCCACTTCAGCTTCCCAAAGTGCTAGGATTATAGCAGTGAACCCTGGCACCCAGCCATTTCCTTTGTGTTGACCAGGTCAGATTGGGGTGCACTAGCATCAGCCAGTGCTCTGCATGTCTTGGGAAGTAAGGGGTGATCCTCAAATTTCAGTTCATGACCTCTGCTGCCTCCTTTTTCAGGGCCAGAGCTCACCTCTCAGCCATGCCTCTGGCCTGCTATATAAGAATTAGAATAGTTGTGTAGGTCTCTGCCTCATCAGCTCTTCTCTTTAGGATATGGTTTCTTTATCTCTCTGACCCTCTTCCATTTCTTGATCCTTATCTGTGATGGACCAGAATAGAATTTTTTTTCTCAGATAAACTTTACTATAGAATTTTCCATCCTTTTCATAGCCAAGTTCTGGCAGGCCTACGTGTGTTTTTGAATCGTCTCATATGGCTTGGGACAGGGATAAGAGCTTGGAGTTGGTCAGAATTATATTCTTTTAGACTACATCTCTTACACCTGAGATAAAATATTGGGGCTTAAGTCACCAGGGCTGATGGTTTTACTTGTTTGTTTTTATAGAAACAGGGTCTCAATCTGTGGCTTAAACTGGAAATCATGGGCATAAGGGATTCTCTGGCCTTGGCCTCCTAAAGTGCCAGGATTATAGGTGTGAGCCACTGTGAAAAGGTAATATTTTAAGATTTTGTGGAGATATTGCAATTATTATGTTGCCAAGACTGGTCTCAAGCTCCTGGCCTCAAGCAATGCTCTTGCCTCAGTCTTAGATTATAGGGATAAACCACTGCACTTGACCTTGATGGTTTTTCTGCATATCCTTTTGACTGGGATAAGGTGGAGTGTTGTGGACATGACTGCGTCTGGCCCTTCCTTCCTACTGTCTCAGAGCTTTGGGCTTTGGCTTCCTTGTCATACCTGCCAGTGTTGCTGTCCTCTCACCTCCTGAATTAGGAGCAGAAAAACTTCTCACTAGCAGAAAAACTTCAGGTGTGTGTTTGGCCTCATGTGAGGTTTCTGCTTCTACAGGCATTTCACAATGAATTCTTCTCTCAGAAGAAATTTGTTCCAACAAAGCTTGGCTTTCCAAACTGTGTTCTATGTTCTTCATTTTAAACTTCTGTAATCTTAACACATATGCAGAGAACTTTGCTCCTTTCTGTTGCTTTTATGATTAGAAGTTGATGTTTTTCTTTTTGTTATTAAATTGCCATTTAAAGGATGTGAGTTGGGTGCACTGGCATCTTTGAGAGCACATAGAATTTATAATGCTGGCCCTCAAAGACTTTTTGATGGGTCTCATTTATCTCTACCTTTATGGCCTTCCACTTTGGAGCATTTCAGACACAGATTTTTACCATAACCAAAATGGCCCTGGTGCTGCTTTTTGTAAGATCTCCACTTTCTGGTAGCATGTAGACTTAGCGAGATGTTCCATTGCTTGTCCTATAGCTACCCCAGTTTCCAGGTATTCTGCCTCAGCAGGTGAAGCTTATCTGCTGTTGAAGCCTTTCCCTTTCCAGGAAAGACTATAGTATAAGCAAGTCTTTAACTGAGCCTTAGAAGATACACAAATGTCTAAATTTGCTGTTTCATGAGGGAATTCCTAGTTGCTCCATCTGATACATCTAAGCTCTAAAGATACATTTTTTCCAAAGACATGCTATAGTTTGAGGATGTTTTCCCACGGTCATCTTGGACTGGTGGTGCACCCAGCACCATTTGTTTAGAAGTTGGACAGGTGTGGCGTCAACTTCTGTTGCAGTTTCAGGATAGCAATTTAGTTGTTGCTTACCTCATTCAGATGATCCAAACAAGACAGTCCCTTCCAGAGGTTGGCTGAGGCCTCATCCTTTGGCTCCTCTGTCTGCAGATGCTGTTGAGCCTCATCTCCCCTCAGGTTCAAAGCTCTACCTCTTCACCATTTTCTATGAAAACTCCTTGTGCACCAAGTACTCTGGGGCATAGTCACCCTCCTGAACCTTTGATGGTGTCAGTCAGCCTGATCTTGTGGCTCCTACCTCCTCTGTCTTCTTTTTTCATACATCATACTGCCTCCCTCCTTCCTCAGGAGCATCTCAGAAGCTCTACGGTGAAGTGCAGATAAGAGTGCCGACTTTGGAGCCAGATCCTGGCTTGGTATCCTGGCTCTACAACTTACTCTATCTTGGGCAAGTTACTTAACTTCCCCAGTGTCACTTATCAAAAACAAATATGAGAATGATGTAAGTACCTACCTTGTGGTGTTTATGAGGGGATTAAGTGAGTTAATATGTGTAAAATGCTTAGAACAGCCCTGTGAGTGAGGTAGTGCTATTGTGTCTCCATATATTGGCAAGAACCTAACTTTTCCTAGTCCCTCCAGCTAGCATGTAGTGGAACTGGAATTAGTCCAGGTTAACTACTAAATTACCCATCTTGTTTTTAAATGTCATTAGTTTTAGTCGTAAGATATTATTCACAATTTAAGTTCTTTTTTTCTTAAAAAATTGTGTGTTTCTTTCGTATAAAAGAGAAAATGCTGGGTGGTTCATTTTGTTTTTGTTTCCTTTAGTGAAAGAAGGTTGGATGTTGTATTACAAAGAAGATAGGATGTTGTATTAGTGTTTATAAAGTTTGGCTTTTATTTTGGCTACCCAAAATATTTCACTATCTCACATTTTAAATAATTTTAAAATACTTTAGAAAACTGTAATCTCCTTGATGAAGTTAAGAATGAAAGACATGGCTCAGCGCCTATAGCTCAACCGGCTAAGGCGCCAGCCACGTACACCTAAGGTGGCGGGTTCGAATCCCCAGCCCGGACCCGCCAAACAACAATGACGGCTGCAACCAAAAAATAGCCGGGCGTTGTGGCGGGCGCCTGTAGTCCCAACTACTTGGGAGGCGGAGGCAGGAGACTCGCTTGAGCCCAGGAGTTGGAGGTTGCTATGAGCTGTAATGCCATGGCACTCTACCTAGGGGGACAGCTTGAGGCTCTGTCTCAAAAAAAAAAAAGAATGAAAGACATTGTACATTGGTAAAATACCCTTCAATAGTTAAGGGACTTGGATCTGGGAAGGGTGACTCACACCTGTAATCTTAGCACTCTAGGAAGCTGAGGTGGGAGTATTGCTTGATGTCGGGACTTTGAGACCAGCCTGAGCAAGAATGAGACCTGAGACCACCCCTTACCACCAAAAAATAGAAAATGTTAGCAGGGCGTGGTGGCACCCAGCTGTAGTCCCAGCTACTGGGGTTGGAAGGGCTAAAGCAGGAGAATCACTTGAACTCAGGAGTCTGAGCTGCCATGAGCTGTGATGATGCCACTGCACTCTATCCAGGGCAACAGAGTAAAACCTGCTCTTAGAAAAAAAAATTATTAGGAAAATAGTCTTTAAAAATAGGATGGTTAAACCCTTTCTAAGAAAATTCACTTGTCCTACTAAGCTACTTTAAGTACCATTCTGTACTGACGAATATAGTATCTGCGTTAGTCTCAGAGCATACTGTGTAAAAATATTATGGAAAATGTCAAGTACGTCAAATGGTACATTGAAAGTCTTTTAATGTTTGTGTTAACATGGGCCCATCCTTGTATACATTTATTTTGGTTAACATATCCCCATATAGTTTCTTTTTGTCCTCATGTATAATAGGTACACTTTAGGAAAATATGTTTTGTTATTTTTGTGTGTTTACTGACTTCTAATTGATAGCATAAAAACTTAGAAACCTGATTAGATTTTTAGCCACAATTTCTGACCAATTTGAACTCTACAGAATTTGTTAGATTGTCGCCTTAAGTGGCCTTTATAATCTGTTTTTTAAAAGGTCAGAGTAAATTATGTTGTTAAAGCTATAAATTATCCATTTTTTTTCAATGGAGAGTATCTTTTTCCTCTTAGCAACTGTTCTTGTTTAACAGAAAGGTTTTAGGTCACAATTATTAGATAA